TAATGTTTGCTAAGGCACTTTAAAGATAAAATGTACTCTATAAATTCTTACTCTAATAAAAAAAGCCTGCAGCAAATAAAACTTAATGGCTGTCTTGTATAAAAGTTAGTCCTTAATTATAGACATTTCATTGCAATAAATCTTTATCTTCCTGGAAAAATCCCACTAGAGAAGAGAAATTATTGTTTTTAGCAAGCTATAGGCTCAATTTCTGTTAAAAGCATTTATTTTGAAATAATGAATGTATTTTTCTCTAAGGGACACAAAAGGGAGAGAAGCTGGGGAAAACGAAGGGTAGTTTCAGAAGCACTTTTATCCCTCTGACCCCGACCTGTTTAGTCACTGCTCACACACTAACCTCCAGAACCCCAGCCACGTCTTTCTTTTGTATTGAATCTAGGGGCTGAATAGAGTATTTTAAGTGCATAGGAAAGTATCAAATAACATGTTTTCTCTAGAGTTTGGGAAATCCAGAACTCTGTAGGGACTTGGAGACAACTCCTCCAGCTCTTCCACCTTCGCAAGGAGGAAGTGGCTTCTATGCCCACTCAGAGAGGGCTGGGGGCCCAGACCCCTGGCATCAGGGTTTTTTTCAGAATTAGAATTACTGGAACCTATTCAGAGTGAGAATATTCAGAACTCACACTTCAGTCACTTCTTCCTATGGTGGTACATTCAGGAGGTGGCGCTCATATGCAAATTCTTGTTATTAGCAGAAGAGGGATTTAAGTGAGCCACTGGGACAATGAAACAAACCACAGCAACCAGCTTGGGGGACCTGCCCCCAGTGATGACGACTGACCTGGAGAAGGCTCCCCACCTTCCCTTCACCCCTACACCTACCTGCCTTTCCCAAGAGCATCCTCGACAACCCACACACAACTCCACTGTCCTCGGGCATCCTCATGACATCCAAGCCAGCCCTCTGAAGGCTGTAAGGGAGGCTGTGATTTCAGTCTCTTACGTGTTAAGTCTTATCTGCCTTTTTTTTTTTTTTTTTTTTTTTCGTGACCGGTAAG